CGCGTTACAGTAGTCCAGTCTTGAGGTCACAAGGGCACAGGTGACTGATGCGAGGGCCTCCCGGTTCAGGTAGGGACGCAATTGATGCACCAAGCAAACCTGGGCAAATGTCCCCCTGGTCACAGCTGACAAATGGTGTTCTAAAGTCAGCTGTGGGTCCAGGAGGACTCCCAAATTGCGAACCCTGTCTGAGGGGCGTACAGTTTGACCCCCCCAGCCTGAGAGATGGAAAACTTGGCCAACCTGTGGTCCACAGACTGTATGTAGCCCTGGACAGTTAGTAATGCAGTCCCATAATATAATAAAAATATTACAAAAAAACCCAAAGGAAGTCTTTTATTTATATATATTAACAATACCATATGTTTTATATGTGGCCTAAGACAATTCCTCTTCACTTAATGTAGCCCATTTAAGCCAAAAGAGTGGACAATCTTGGGTAAGACTGATCATCTTTTCATATTCTCTTCTTATACCTAGTTCATTCTAAACGTGCGACTGGATTACAGGATCTCCTATTTGCTCTCAGTGTTCAAGAAGGAGTTTGTGGAAGTTTTTCCCATGCAGGACAGTGCAGCAGATGGGACAGCACCAGCCTTTGACTCTACCAGTAAGCTCCAGCTTCTCCTGGTACTCTCCTCCCTTTTTGATTTGAAGTCAGAAATCTTTTCTGCCTTCATTTTGCCTTAGTATTCAATAATGCTCTAAAGGTAGATGGATGTTTGATTGTTAAATGAAAATCAGGATCTACTGTGTGATGATAGTATATCTGTAGGAAATTGGGAATGTTTAGGATCATCATGATTTATTGCAAAGAATGAGAAATGGTCATGTTCACTTCAACAGCAGATGACTTTGAATGTAAGACACTCTTCCATATTAAGGATTACACATATATAGAGAAAATTCATCTGCTCTATTTTGTATAGCTTTGGCATATCTAAGACATTTTAAAGCTAAATCATCTTTGAGAAATCTACTTTTCTCTTCATTTAAATATAGTGGTGATTGATAAACAGTTGATGAACTAGTTCAGATGTTTCCTTGTTTTTTTTCTTCTTTTTCTGTCCCTCATCATCTCCCAATTGTTACATTTTTTTGTTTCTTATGCTCTTTCTTTCCTTCCAGCTGCAACAATGAATCTGGATCGGATTGGGGAGCAGGCTGAAGCCATGTTTGGGGTTGGGTGAGTTTTATTGTACTGGTTAGTTTTCCATTATTGCTGTTGGTTGCTTTTCCCATACATAGCTAAAGCAATTTACCCTCTAGTATGAAGAGTTAAGAGCCAGAGGTTGGTTATGATTTCGTCTTTCTTTTTCTCTTTGGGCTACAGGAAAACAAGCAGTATGTTAGAAGTGGATGATGAAGGAGGACGTATGTTTCTCCGGGTACTAATCCACTTGACAATGCATGATTATCCACCTCTTGTCTCAGGCTCTCTTCAGCTTCTCTTTAAACATTTCAGTCAGCGTCAGGAAGTCCTACACACCTTTAAGCAGGTAATGCTCAGTGTAACTCTTAGTGGTGGGTACATTTTGCACTTCTGTAACTCCTTTCACCTAAGGTTCACTCTCCTTGGAACAAATTCACATGATGTGTTTATTTTTGCTTTGCTATTGAGCATGCTGCCTCTCTTTGGGCCTACTTATGATTTATGGAACTAGAAAACACTATTTTTTATCTATTTTGAGAAGTTTGGTATACTAGAGGAGATGCTAGTAGTTTTCTGGTATGTATTTTAATTTGAAACTGCTGGACCCAGCCTATTTCAAATGGTAAATGAAGGTATTATTTATATTTATCACATTGTTGATGGGTTGGCACTAATCATATAAAAGCAGTGGTCATTTTCTAGAGCTATTGTATTGGTGCACTGATGATTTACCTAAAGTGGGAATGGAATGTCTACAAGAAAACCACCAAGCTTAAAGAGCACCATGGACCCCACACAGCAGAGAAATCATGATGATGTTATTATTTTATTTATTTATTGAAATTTTTATGCCACCATATCTCTAGCATGCAAGAAGCAAGATTCTATGAACTGGTTTTACCTCTAATACCATCACAACCTCCAGTGGGTTCAACCCTATTCATAGTTCAACATAAAAGGAAGCTGTATGCTTCTTCAGATGAATGTTATACTTTTAAACCTTTTGCCAAATCCACAAAGATGACAATGGTGATATTGGGCTGTGACTGGAACTACTGCATGCCAGGAAGCAATATGGCCCTTCTTTATTTAAATATTATTTCTGAAGGGATTTTCATTGTGGATCAGAAATAGCTCTAGGTTATCATCATAAAAAGAAACATATCCCTAGTCTTAAATTCCCTCAGACCTTATGAGAAGGACAAATGAATCATAAACCATAGGCCTTCACCTTGTACCCCTTTGTATTAGCCAGCAGCATAAACAGAATGAGCTGATGTTCTTTATGGTAACTTCAACCAGGTCCAGCTACTTATCTCTGCTCAAGATGTTGAGAACTACAAAGTGATCAAATCAGAGTTGGACAAACTTCGTATGATGGTGGAAAAGTCTGAACTCTGGGTGGAAAAGAAGGGTAACTCCAAGGGAGAAAACGGACAAGAAGGGGAGAAGAAAGAGAAAAAAGAGGTAAATTCACACCAGTTATAAGGCAGGGAACACAAAAGTAAATCTGGATTGAAAATAGGTGGGATTTTAATCCTCAGTTTACATAGCAGTAAAGATGAATTTACTACTGAATAAATATTTGGCAGGAAGCAAATTATGAATCTCTGAGGATAAAGAGATCACAGAATATTATCTTAAACTTATCAGTAATAGTGAGAAGAAACCCAATGGGGGAAATTATCATCATTATTAAATACCGTAATAATACAGCTTTGATAAACTATGCAGACCAATTCAATCAACTTAAATTCAGTTTGTAGCAGAGGAGATGTGTTTTTAAAATTGGCCTAGTTTGTGGTGATTGAACAGTAACCGGACAACTCATGGAAAATGAATCATGGTGGATCTCCCCTCCTTTAACTCTATATATAGCCACCTAAATACTTTTTATCTTCCTTTCATCCTCCCAGCGTACTACAGATGAGGAACCCGGGACCCCTGGAGAAAAAAGCAGTGAGAACTATCAGCTTGTAAAAGGGGTAAGCAGTTATAACTGATACTCTCATCACTAGACAAAATGTAGGAAAATATTGCTGACTCAAGCACATGGGGATGATGAGGATTTGTTAACAAAAGCAAATGCAACACACTACAGAACAGATTTGTAATACAATATTATATGGTCCCAGGATACATATGTGTTGCCTGTGCCTTGGGCTGAGAGACTAAAATCTTTATTTTTGAATGTAGTTATAAGATGTATAAGTAACTTGTTAATCACAGGACATCCCAGAGCATTGTGCATAACTCAGAAAGACAAAATAACAACAAAACACTACTATTGTTCAACCAGTGAAGTACATGAAAAAACTCTGAGCTTTCTTCGCAGGAGTATGAAGAAACATTGAATTTATACTGAAAATCACATCAAATCAGGATTAATCTAGTCCAAGTGTAATATATGAAGCTGAGGTACCAGAGGCGAGGGCTATCTGTGAGACAAGATTCTTTATAAATTCTCAGGGCTTCTCCTATTCTTAGTCCTTGGAGAAGAACTTCAGCATCCATTAAAGCAGTGTTTTTCAACCACTGTGCCGCGACACACTAGTGTGCCATGACATAGTGTGAGGTGTGCCATGGGAAAAACACTTTATATATTGTCAATATAGGCACAGAGTTAAATTTTTTTAATATTTTCTAATGGTGGTGTGCCTCGTGATTTTTTTTCATGAAAAAAGTGTGCCTTTGCACAAAAAGGTTGAAAAACACTGCATTAAAGGAATTCCTACTCTAACTTCTTTCATTTACAGTTGTTGGAATTTGAACATTGAGAACACAATTGGTTTGCATGTAAATTAACAGAATGTGAGGTATTTCGTGCTACTCAGAACTTGATTAAGTAGGCATTTCCAAACAGACAGCTCAAAGCACTCCCAGTCAAAAGACATCATGCAGCTATATTGTCTATTCCACCAATTTTTTCTTACTTGATTTTTGGATTGGATGAACGAAAAAAGATGGAAGCAGTAGTGAGAAAACACAGATGAATTACAAATGGAAAACATCATTTGGAGTGCTATAAAATTCTGTGAACTGAAGCAGAACAATTGCATGATAAAAATCTCATTTTGAAACATTTTGTATTACAAAGCTGCTGAAGCTACTTTCTCACCTTAGCCCTCCTACATGGAGTTGGAAGACAAAAATAAATTACCCAACAAGATTGTCATGTACTGTTCCATCACTAATCTGCAAGATTGGAATAGTAGTAATAAATAATATGGTGGGTTGTCAGCTCCAGGCTGTGTTGCAAAATGTGTCTAATACTGCTGGCCAGCTACAAATTGTCCAGAGCTTGACCTGCCAAACCAGGACCACATGGTACCAGTTGGTCATAAGCTACTGTTCCAAACCACTGACTCTTCAACATACAATATGGAAAATCTGCTTTTGCTTCAGTAGGACACATTTTAAGGGTTATTTTACTGTTTTGCCCCAAATAAGAATCATGTTTGAAGGAATATAAATCCTTTGCTGTTCTCCTTGGAGATACTTGTGGCTGAATCTAGTTATATTAAAATCTTGGATTTGGCCATTGATGATTCCTGACATTTATCTCTTCTATCTCAGAAGACATCTATCAGTGCATTTCATTATGAACCACCAAATAAATAAATAAATAAATAAATAAATAAATAAACAAACAAACAAACAAACAAACAACCAATTAGATAGTTTTTAGGGTACCTTTATAAAACTGTCTCATCCTCCTTGTTTCTTCCTTTCACTCCTTTCTATTCTACCTCCGTCCACAGCATTTCATGCTGTGGAGATATTATAGAGTTATTTTAGGATTCCATTCTGGGGCTACTTTTCTTCCAGTTACTTTGTTTTTGGTTGTGAATATTTTTGCATTGTTTCACATCTGCTGATACTTAATAGTATCCTTGGCTGCATAAGCACAAGCAGAAGAACAATAATAATAAAAAGAATTAGACGGAAGAATAAAAGTGCCATTCCACTTCTAGTAATCTGTTTCATCCTATCATGTTTTTTTTAAGAGTACAAAAGAAATTGTCCCACAGAAAGAGTTCTTATAATTAATTTCACAATCTTAATTCAAATCCATCTTGACCTTTAGTTTGTCTATATAAAATTATACATAAGGATGTTATATATATGTATAGTATAGGGGTCAGCAACCTGCAGTTCTGGAGCTGCATGTGGCTCTTCCATCCCTCTGCTGTGGCTCTGTTGCCGGTTGGCACCACAATTTTGAGGAGCTTCCAGTTAGGGAGAGAAAAGCATGGCGCACTAGGAGGAGAGACTATGGCAAGGGATGGGTTTTCTGGTTGGCTCCACAACTGATAGGGCTTTCGGTTAGGACAGGTAGATGAAAAAGGACACCATCCTAGGAAGAGACTCTATGGTGGGGGAACTGGACTTCTGATAGACAGAGGAAAAAGGATGCTGTGTTAGGAGGAGACTTTATGGTGGGGGAACCGGACTTCCAGTTGGCTCCAGAATTGAACGGGGGGCTTCTGGTTAGGACCTTTGTGGCTCTTTGAGTGTTTAAGGTTGCCAATCCCTGGTATAGTATATGTATATGTGTGTGTATGTATGTGTGTACACCCCCCCTCCCCAATACATAACATCCTTAAACTTGTATTTAAAACTTTTTCCCCTAAGGATTGAGAGACTCACTGGTATTATAAAACATATCCTTCCAAAGGTTCTTACTAGTTGAAAGGCAATTAAGAAGCAGTTTCCAAAAGTGGTTAAGAAACAAGGCTTTGTATCCATATAAATAGATTACATTTTATGAGAATGAGCTTGATTGAAATCTCTTGACTCACTGTGTGGCTGCCAATCTCTGCTGCAATACTGTCCTCGCTCCTTCAGGGATGTCTACTTTCCCTCCTCAACAGAAGTGTGGAATATTTTTTGTCTTATCCCCTCTTTCATTAGATGTTTCCTTTATTATATCTAGATTCTGGAGCGACTAAATAAAATGTGTGGTGTTGGTGAGCAGATGCGAAAAAAACAGCAGCGTTTGCTGAAAAATATGGATGCCCACAAAGTGATGCTGGATCTGTTGCAAATCCCTTATGAGAAGGTAGGAAGAAGTAGGTGGAAGATGGACACTTGGTTGGAATAGCAGAAGGTGGGGGGGGGTCTTAGGTTCTTATTGGATAATAGATTTTTTTAAAAGCCATTATTCGGGGAATTGTCTAGTCCAATCTTCCTTAAAAACAGTAATTATATATCTAATTTTTTCCTTTTTTCCATTTGTCGAAAGCTTCCAAAGAAGGAATTTGTGCATTTTTCCTTGGCAGCTGACTTTCTTTTGTTTTGAACCTATACAGAGTGATACCAAGATGTTGGAGATTTTAAAATTAACCCACCAATTCCTACAGAAGTTTTGTGCGGGCAACCAAGAAAACCAAACACTTCTGCATAAACATCTCAACTTGTTCCTTACTACTGGGGTAAGAAAGAAGGGACAAAAAAAAGAAGGTGGAAATGTTCAAAAACAACAACAACAAAGTGTTGGAAAAATTAAATTCTGCTAGTTCTCCAATTTTCTGCTCAGATTAATTTGCATAGTCTTGACAATAAATATAATAGCTTCATTGCTTCAAATGATTTTTAAGGCCAAGTAGGGCTGGGCTTGCAGTTTAGTCATAATGAATCATGTGATTCACATAGCAGGTTGAGAATAGACTTTGCTTCCCATCTGCTGCTTAGAGGTCCAATCATAATTCCTACATCCATGTCTTTTTCAGAGTCGCTCTAGCTACTACAGCTGTCACTACAGTCCACTAGCTTACAGAAAAGCAGTTGGCAGCACTCCTAAGATTTTGCTTTCCAAACTGTAAAGCTTTCCATTGCTCAGCAAGGCTCTCTGAATAAAATTGTGTCAGAGAAATTTTGCCTTGGTGGCAAACAATGTTTAAAATTTAAATTAGTTGCTCTCTGCAGATGCTGCCCATAAGGACCTCTATTACAATAGCGTTTTCTGAGGAAGGTTTATTTTCTCAGAATGGTAAGTAGGATATTAACATGCCCTAAAAATACTGATGTTGCTATTACAACCTCAGGTGGTAGCAAAAACATTTCAAAGGGTTGCAGAGAATGAAGATGATGCAGGTGGACCTATAGGTCCAGCTCAGGTGGCACAATATCATATATTACCCGTAAAGCCAAACTAATATGGATTTTTTGTTTTTTTAAAAACTGAGCCATTGCAAAGAATACAGTTATTTATGAAATATAAATTGCATCCCCCCCCTTTAAATGCTTGGATTCCTCCTTGGGTGAACCCTTTGACCTTGTCTGTTGAAAAGAGATAGTATAATATCTTGCTATTTTGAGGTGAGAAACATAAAAATACAACACAAGCCCTTCAATCGGCATATCAATTTAATAAGCTTCCAGACTAATGTGGTAGCCCAGATAGGAAGCATGACTAGATGTACTTATTTTATTTAGTGTAAGATTACATTGGGAGATAATATTCCTTGTGCCTCGGCATATGGTCATGCTGGCCACATGATGGCAGAAGTGTCTTCGGATAATGCTGGCTCCCTTGGCTAAGAAACAGAGATGAGCATCATACCTTAAAGTTGGAAATGACTAGACAGGGGAAATCTTTATCTTTACTTTCACCTTTTACATTAGAAGAATCTTGCAAGCCTGGAAGTGCTTTTCTCCTTTTTCACTTTTACAACCCAAGAAATTAGGCAAGGTCTCTTCTGAGATGTTTACTATTGTGACCTTTCTTTTGTGGCTAAGCCGCTGCTTGTGTGACCATTTCTCTGGCTGCAGCTGTTTCCCCTGTCTCTGTGGTCATTCCTCCACACAAACAAAGACAATTCTATTCAGTGGAATGATCTCAGAAGACATCTGAGGTGGGTGCATTACTTTCCACCTTCTATTTTATTCTCACAACATTTTGAAGTTGCACCTGACCGTGGTAATCAGAAGGGATGGGGAAAATGGGTTTTTCCTGAGAGTTTATACTAAATAAACAGATGAATAATGAAAAAGATGATTAAGATTAACGTTAAGACCTCCCCAAAAATATTGCAACACAGCAGCAGCCACGAGGTGATCACGCTCACCGCCTCCTACACCTCAAAAATAATAAGACCTCCCCCAAATTAAGGCCAAGTGCTTATTTTGGGGGGTCAAAAGAAAATACCGTATTTTTCGGAGTATAAGACGCACCCTTTTTCCTCAAAAAAGGAGCTGAAAATCTGGTTGCATATTATACATCAATTACAGCATTTTTTTGCCTCCTGAAGCCCCGTCCCTTCACCAAAATGGCCGTGCATAGCCTTATGGAGGCTTTCAGAGAGCTCCTGGGAGCTGGGGAAGGCAGAAATGAGCAGAAAATGGGCCTTTTTGCCCCCCCCCCAGCCCCCAGCAGCACTCTATAATCCTCCATAAGGCTATGCATGCATTTTTTTTGCCAAAAAACAGGCCAGTTTTCACAAAAAATGGGCCGTTTGTTTGCTCTTTTTTGCCCCCCCCCCGGCTTTTGCACTCTGCAAGCCTCCCCAAGGCTATTCATGCCTTTATTTGAAAAAAATGGGCCCATTTTTGCGAAAAACGGGCCATTTTGGGGAGGTTTGCAGAGTGCAAAACTCTTTTCCCCCTTTTGGAAAGCTCTTTAGTTAGAGTGATTGATGAGAATTACATTGATCAAGTGCTGTGCCAGCAAAAACAAACACTTAGGTGCTGCAGATTGTCAGCTATTTCCTTCTCTAGCACATGGATAAATACACCTGAAAACATCTACCTACTCTCTCTCTCCCTACCTACCTACTGTATTTCTCTCTCCCTCTATCTACCTACTACCTATCTACTCTCTCTCTCTCTCCCTCCCTCCCTCCCTCCCTACTGTATTTCTCTCTCTCTCCCTCCTTCCCTCCCTACCGTATTTCTCTCTCGCTCTATCCCTCTGTCTACCTACCTACCTTCTCCCTCTCTCCCTCCCTACTGTATTTCTCTGTCCCTCTATCTACCTACCTACCTACTCCCTCCCTCCCTACTGTATTTCTCTCTCTCTTACCTCCCTATCTACTGTATTTCTCTCCCTCTCTCTGTCCCTCTATCTACCTACCTACCCTCTCCCACCCTACTGCATTTCTCTCTCTCTCCCCCTCTATCTACCTACATACTCTCTCTCCCTACCTACCTACCGTATTTCTCTCTCTGTCCCTCTATCTACCTACCTTCTCTCTCTCTCCCTCTCTATCTACTATATTTTTCTCTCCCTCTAGCTATCTACCTATCTATCTACTCTCTCCCTCTCCCTACCTATCTACTGTATTTCTCTCTCTCTAGCCCTCTGTCTACCTACCTACCTACCTACCTACCTACCTACCTACCTACCTACCTACCTACCTACGTACTGTCTCTCTTTCCCTACCTACCTACTGTATTTCTCTCTCTCTCTCTTTCTCTATCCCTCTATCTACCTACCTACCTTTTTTAAAAATTTCCCTCTTCAAAACCTTTGTGCATCTTATACTCCGGTGCGTCTTATATTCCGAAAAAAACAGTAAGACCCTGTCTTATTTTCAGGGAAACATGGTAGTGCATTATCCCTTTTGAGCCAAAGGCTCCAGTCAGCTTTTAAATAATGTATTGAGAGGGATGGTTGGAATTTAAGAAAAAAATTGATTATTTGAATTGAATGTTATTAAAAATTAACTATTTAATTTTCATCATATTATTCCTTCCCAGGTATTGAATGATTTGTACTTTCTCTCATGTTAAAAACTACAGTTTGTTAGCAAATTCTGGAGTGTCTATGGAAGCTCTTCCAAATGTTTTACTTAATGTGTCTAATCTACACATTACACATCAGGTTTCGATACGTATGAGTGATGACAATTTTTTCTTGTCAGCTTATGGAGGCAGAGACAATGCAGCACATCTTTATAAACAATTACCAGCTGTGCTCTGAGATCAGCGAAGGGGTGCTACAACATTTCATCCATTGTCTGGCTACACATGGGCGCCATGTTCAGTATCTTGACTTTCTGCACACTATCATCAAGGCCGAGGGAAAGTACATTAAAAAATGCCAGGACATGATCATGACTGAGGTGAGATTTCAGATCTCTTGGAAAAAGGGTACAAAAGAGGAGAAAATACATAGAAACAGATTAGGAAATGTTTACACATAAATAAGGGGTAGCCATTGTAGACTAGCAGGGGGAAACCAGGTAATGTTAAATGTAATCTGGTAAGAGGCCCTGAGAAATTGCAGGGTGAGGCTCTGATTTGGACTATCCCCATTCCTGCATCAAGAACTTCAGGAAATATTTGTTCCTCACAAACCTTTTGCTCAGCCTTCCCGAAACAAGAAATACGAAGTATTAAGATAGTATGGTACCTTAAGATACTGCAGATTTTTACAGATAGTAAAAATAAGCCTTGGAAAAATAATATATACAAGGCAGAGCCTGTCTGATTTTATAATCAGGTGTCAAGTTTTAATAATAAAGGGTTGAACCCTAGTGAACCTAAGGTTACAGTCTTCCAAACTGGGAGTTGATTTGTTAAATGGCTATTAATATATAAAATCTATAGGGACATGTTAAGTAATTTAGCAGCTTGACAGTATAGTATTTATTTAATGTAACCATTTCAATTTTGTAATCCATATACTTACTCTGTACATTTATTCCCATACATAAAATAGTTGCCAAATTACATAAAACAAACAGAGCTTTAATGCTGAGTGTATGAGGATGTTATTACTCAGTGCAACAGATGCCACCTCCAGATGTTCAAATATTCATACCCATTTCCCATCCCTTTTATTCTTGCTTGCTGTTTTGCGACCATCTTTTTCATATATTTTTACCAGAAGGCTCATTTGATCTCAGCTTGAATAGTCAATGGTCAGGGATGATGGAGATTGTGGTGGAAAAGATGTAGAACCAGGATGGGGATACTTCTGTTAAGCAGTATAGTAATTTATAAGAACCATTCTGATTCACTGTTTTTCAGACTTAACATCTGTAGACTTCAATTCCCAGAGTTTTACCAGCAAGCATTTTAAAGTCACCAATTTTGAAAAGACAGGTTCTCCTTGGTGTAGTTCTCTTTCCCCTGCCAGGGGAAATACAAATTTGTATTAGGATTTTTAAAATCTGTAAATTGGAAGTGTAGCTGCTGCATAACAATTCTCTCATATTTTGTCCCAGGACAGCTAATGCCAGGACATAGAGTTTTATTTATCTGACAGTATTTGTATACTTCCCCCATACAATGAAATTTAGGAGACAATAATATTCTAGAAGGATACAGATGTACTGTACCTGGAGCCAAAGAAGCAAGGATCACATGCTGCTATGGTTATCTCAATCCCAGGAGCTTCAGACCATACTGTCTTAAAAATAAGGGACAAGGGGAAAAAAAGATTCAATATAGGAATATATCTCCTGTTAGTAGATTTGCTCTGTATGTATTATGAGTAAACTCTACTATGGTATTATAGAAAAAGTGGTAGGGTGTAGCCAGGGGTGGGTTTCTCGCCCCGTTCCAACCGGTTTGGTTGGAACGAGGCCGGCGGTGTCCTCGCGCATGCGCGCGCCACGCGCATGCGTACTAGCGTCTGTGCGATGCTCCAGCTGCTCCTGGAGGATCGCGCAGGCGCTGTATGCGTCCTGCGCATGCGTGGAAGCGCAGAATTCGGCAAAACCGGGTAAGGAGTGGGCGCGCGCGGGCGTGGGGGGGGGCTTCGCCGTTCCCGGAAGTTACTTACTTCCGGGTTCGGCGACCAACTGGATCGCGGGGACCGCCGCGAACCGGTTGAAACCCACCCCTGGGTGTAGCTGACTTTGATTGATCCTGAAAAAGTTAAGCATGGTTGTACCTGGCTAGGATTTAAAGCCCCTATTCAGGGCTATGCATTAGATTGAAAAATTGAAAGAATGGTCTAAAAAGATGTAATGGTGAATTTTTGCCAAGACAGAACAGGGATGTAATCACTAGAGATTGAGCTCAACCCAATGAGCAGGTTATAGCACATGAGAAGTAGGCTGAAAAGAGCTACAAAGTAGATATTTAAGCAGAGTCTTGTTCTTTTGCTTAGATGCCTTGTCTCTTTCCTATAGATTACCAATGCTGGAGACGATGTTGTGGTGTTCTATAATGATAAGACATCCCTCGCCAACATGTTGGAGATGATGACAGCAGCTCGGGATGGGATAGAGGAGAACAGTCCCCTCATGTACCATATCTCTCTGGTGGATTTGCTGGCTGCTTGTGCTGAAGGCAAAAATGTATATACAGAGATCAAATGCACATCTCTGCTTCCTTTGGAGGATGTGGTGCGAGTAGTCACTCACGAAGACTGCATTACTGAGGTAATGAAAGGATGCACAGTAGATGTCATTTATGGCAGACAAAGAGCTTTGTAGTTACCATATGATTTTGGGTTTCTATCCTCATGTAAATGAGGCCAGGCTCTATATGACGAAAATGTGTTTTCTTAGATATGTGTCACTTAAAACAGATGCGTTTGCCAAAGTAAGAAAACAATGACCTGTAAAGACTGGCCAGGTTTAGAAAAGTCCTGTCCAATTACCACTGGGTGACTTTATAGCCAGTAATTATAAGAATGAAAGACTAATAGATCTCTCTATCAACTCACATAATTCTATCTCTTTGAATAATTTAAGGGTGTTGTAGGAGTAAATTGTCTCGCAATTAAGTTGCCCAGTTATCTTCCTTACCAGAGAAGCCACCAGAGGTATATGAATCATGAAGATTATGGTATTATTTTTCAGCCATATCATCAGTATGGGGCTCTTTACAATAATAAAATGGATTTACTTCCTTGATACCCTGTCATCTTTCAGACAAAAGCAGGCTGACAGATTGATGATTGTTTTACGAACTGCTACTTGGCCAAGTCCCTGTTTTGATTTTTACAGATGTAGATAATTTTCTCAAGAGCATAAATGGTGCTAATAAAGAATAAAACTCTATCTCTCCCCCTCCCCCAAAGAGTGATGAATGCATAGGAGCTTTGGTTCTATTCTTGCAACATGCCCAGTTGTTTAATCCATGTCTCTTTTACTCTGGTCTTTCAGGTGAAAATTGCATATGTCAATTTTGTCAATCATTGCTATGTAGACACAGAGGTGGAGATGAAGGAAATCTATACCAGCAACCACATCTGGACACTATTTGAGAACTTCACCCTTGACATGGCTAGGGTAAGTCTTGAAATTTATGAGAAAATCCTTTGGCCCCAAATATGTGAAGAGGTACATAAATTGATACCTCCAACTTTGTCCAAATTGGTGCCATCAAAACATATGCAAAGGATATCAGACTGGGGAAATTTTCACTAATTTAATAAATTAGTGAAAAGAGCTTCCTACATAGCAACTGATTAGTCTCAATGCTAAAAGTGCTTGGTTACCCATCAATAAAAAATAGATTCAGTCACTTCCATTAGTGAGTCCTTAGTGATTCCTTAAAGATGATTAATGATTCATTAGGACTAATTATCATTAATTATAATCATAAACATTATGATTATGATTCATTATTAACTAACCATAACCAAAAGCAGAAAAAAGGGAGGCAGCAGCTCCAGTTTTAGGAGTGCATACCAGTTGTAGGGAACAGTGTTGGGCAAGAAACTTGTCTCATCTCTTCCTGTGAGTATCCCAGAAGTATCTAGTTGGCTACTCTTAAGTAGGTAATTGTCTGATCCAGAAGGGCTATTCATATATTTATATAAAATTGTCCCCCCTCAAAGCCCCTATATTACAATTCATTGGACCCAAACTATTTTTTGTTATTCTTTTCATTAGGGTACCCTGAGATGATGAAGTCGCTGTTGCTCATGAAAGTTTAGCCCTTTAAAAAGAATAATAATCCAAAAAAGTGCTATCAGAGTCCTGATTTTACCCCCACCATAGACTAATGACCATGGCTTTGCTCCTACAGGGAAAAAAAGCAATGCTCTCTGGTTATGTGTACTCTTTTACAAAGAGGTTGGCCATGACAACTAGCTATTCTAATGCAGCAAACCTTTGAATATTAAAATTTGAAGCCTACCTATACAGTTGCCATCATCATGCCTTGCTTTGATGTCCCTCTGGATATCTGGCTCTCCGCTGTTGGATAACGGAATGCTGAGTTCAAGAACTCAGCTTTTCATATGTTCAGTGTGCCAGAGGTTAGAATGCCATTCTTTGAACAAGATAATGTTTTATTACATTGTCCTATTGGGATCACAGGTTACACACATTTGTTCCTGCTTGGCAGAAGGCACAGCTCTGGGAACTCTCTGCCAAGGTTTGCCTTCAGAGAAGATTGATGCCATACAGCAGACAAAAAGCTTCTTTTGTCTCCTGTACTCATTGCACTGTGGAACTGTTTAGCTCTCTGAATGAACTAATCCGTGGTTAAGTTTTGTAATATCGTAAACTGCAAATGCTCATCTCTGCCAACAAATGATTAGGATGCATAAAAGGCAATCCCATCACACCAGCAGCTCCCCCTGCAGTATGGAACTAATGATGGGATAAAGGTGCTGTAAGGATTTGTTTAGTTGATAATGAGAAGATGCTTAATGTTCAAATTTTGGTTTATTTCTACCTTCAGGTATGCAAGAAACGTGAAAAGCGCTTGTCAGATTCTGCCTTGGAGAAATATGTGCTGACTGTGGTGCTGGACACAATCAATGCATTCTTCAGTTCCCCCTTCTCTGAGAATAGCACTTCCCTACAGGTACAATTGAAACCTTACAATGGTTGAATTTATTTTCCATTTCCTTTTGTAAGTAAGAATAATTGTTTGAAACATAATAGAATGTGTCCACTCCTGATAACTCTGAAATATGACATCTGTCGACAATACTAAATTGCTACATGTTTCTTTTGTGATGAAAAAAGATCCCGAGAAACAGAATAATCTTCACATTCATTAATATATAGACTTTTTAAATCTTTTGAACTTAGTTTTAGAATGGCAATTTGTAATTGAGTTGATCCTGGATTCTGTTTAAAGTGCTAATTTACAGTTGTCACTGTTGTTATTAGATGATGCAACAGGATGAGTGAGAGGGTGAATCCATAACTGGATATCTCAGCTTAGTGGTTTTTAAATAACAATAGCTAATTAGATCAATATAAAAAGTGTTAATCTTTTCCCTTGTGCCATTTTTCCCATTCAGGTTTTGCCTTCCCTATGAATGTCATTAGTGTCTTCTTCACTAGAGAAGAATATCTTGGACTGGGACAAATTAATTGCCATCAGTTAACTCTCCCAGAATGGGACAAAGTATTAATTGCCTAAATATTATTTCAGACCCGAGTCATGTCCCATACCTCATTTGCATTTTTAAAAAATGTTGTGGGTCTTGTCTCCCCTGGGTGGAGCTGCAATGGAAATAAAAGCAGGATTTCAGCAGAAACCCTTAAATGTTTCCTCTCTCTTTCAGACCCACCAGACTATTGTGGTGCAGCTCCTCCAATCTACCCTGAGACTTTTGGAATGTCCTTGGCTGCAGCAGCAGCAAAAAAGTTCAGTGGAAACTTGTATTCGCACGTTGGCTATGGTTGGTAAGTAGCAACACCTATTCATTGCTTGGAAAGAAGGAGGGCAGATTTCAGGCCTGCGGGATCTTTCTGAGATCCACCTGCTGAAGCTGCTTCAGAAGGCATAGATTTAATTACAGAATACATAATAATAATAATAATCAATGAATCATCATCATCAACATCAAGTCCCCATCTTCTTTTCATTTCAGCTATATAAAATGGAGAGTGGGAGTTATATATGGCTGCCATTGTAAAAACACATTAACACGCACTGTAGCCATCAAAAGTTGCTTCAATGGGTGGCATATAAATTGTAATAAATAAATACATAAATAAATATATAAATATAAGGAAAGCAGCACAAATGTTTTGTCCATCCTTGAATAATACAATTTACAAGTGAGGAAAAATTTCTGCATTATATAGCAGATTAAAAATTGTGAGAATTCTCTGAGCATGCAATTAACACTGTGTACAGTACAATGTGACCTTTATTTTGGGGGTGTGATCTTTATTTTATATAATTTGGTACAATGACCAAGATTGCTGTGTGATGGCCAATTTACTACACCCAGTATCATCCTTGTCATCAGTGCTATACTTAAAACATTTTCCTCAATATAAATATTTTGTTCTTTTAGCGAAAAGCCGGTCCATTTCCTTACCCATGGATCTGGATGCCCATGTCAACTCCCTGCTAAACAGCAGTTCTATTATCAATGCCCAAAGGAATGCTTCCAACTATAAGACAGCATCCCGTACTTTCCCTCGGGTTTCAGCTACAACCAATCAGTGGGACTACAAGAACATCATTGAGAAGTTGCAGGTACAAAATCATACTGGTTTTGAGGGACCACTATATGCTTCTCTCTTAATCAGGCATTTCTCAAAAACAAGAATTTAAATGATCCTGTTCTGACTCTCCAAACACGACAAGCCCTCTGTCTGTCTAATTTAATTAGGGCATCCATCGGAATCTTGACACCCTCTGTATTTAAATAAATGATTATTTTATTAGGAATGCCAGCAGCCCCGGCAAAAAAAAATACGTTTCTCTCTCAAAGCAGGCTAACAAATCTATCCGGCAAGGAAATGAATAGTTGTCTGCCACATCTATTCATTTCCACCCCTTGCCTTTTATCCTCAGAGCTAGGGTGGGGCTTCGCTAACAGTGGTGGCTCTTCTGTCCCAAGGATCGGCCCACAGATTTCCACTGCTCTCCTCTCCTTTGCCTTCTCTGCAGCCGTGCGTGAGGCACTGGGTCCAGCTGTTCTTCCTCATCAGCCACCTCCATCACCTCCTGAGGGCTGTTGATTCTCCATCTGAGGGCTGACAGACGATTGGCTCTGCCTCTGCCCCTCTCTCTCTCTGACAGCTCCATTCCCTCTTCCCCCTTGGAGCACTCAGGATGCCCAGATCCAGACTTCCACATCTCCTCCTCATCTGATTGAGCTACTGGAGGGGCCAGTGGTTGACAGGGCACAACAGATCCTCTGCAGTAACTCAAATTCTATACTTCTATATTCCAGAACTTTGGATAATTTGTGTATATTCCCCAGGAATTGGGTTGTAATGTGCTGATAGGTCTGATTGATTGATAGTATTCTAATTGCTTGGGTTGACATTTTATTATTATATTGTTTGTGGTTGTTGGTATACATATATTGTAGTTTTGTATTTTTATTGTTAGGTTTTGTTTCTGCTTATTTTTAAGCTAGTGGTTCTCAACCTGTGGTCTACAGACTCCTCGGGGGCTACAATATCATCACAGGGGCTCCGCAAAGGCTTGAAAAAATGTTATAATTTAAATCTTGAGTTAAGTCTTGATGGTCCATGGCTATAGTCCATGGCCACAAAAGGTATTGGGGGGGGGGGGCCCGGGGTGAAAAAAGGTTGACAACCATGGTTTTAAGCCTTTCAGAGTACCTTGGTTGAGTTGAGTAGTTATATCAATATTTTAAACAAATAAATAAAATTTAGCATACTCTGGCTTACTTTGTGTATCTGTTTTGCTTCTACTTATTTGGAGAGAGACACTTCTAAGAGCTTTACATTGCTTACAGGGTAATCTCAGGATCACAAAACACTAGTTTGAATTAACAAATAAATAATAGCTTTACACTGAAAATGCTATGCCATTACAGGACATTATCAATGCCCTAGAGGAGCGCTTGCAACCTCTGGTTGAAGCTGAACTCTCAGTCCTGGTGGATGTCCTGCACTGTCCAGAACTACTTTTCATGGAAGGGACTGAGGCCTATCAACGTTGTGAAAGTGGTGGCTTTCTCTCTAAGTAAGTAGGCTCTCTTGCTTTAGAAAAATGTAGACTTTGAGGAACATTCCCAACTTGTGTCATTATTGCTCATAATTTTTTTTATGAGACTAGGGCCTATTTGTTGATTTATTGAATTGAAGCCTTCAGCTGTATGCTCCTACTGATCCAGTTACAGCAACCAAGTTAGATTATATCAAATAACCATTTCAGTTTTGAGCAGATGTCATGCCATCATTTATGGCAATCAGGAATTGTCTCCTGAAAATTAGGAGTCAGAAGAACAGAGAAAAAGCAGAGGGAATATACTGGTAAGAGGAGTAAATAGATTATAGAATTTGGCAGAGCTGAGACAATTATATTAACGTGCCCATTTAAGTTAAGAATCCAGACTATTTCTTAACACAGCTAGTTTTTATCTGTGGTGGCGTGAATACTGTATTTCTGTGTAGAAGGATTATGGTGTGAATTCATTCCACCACCACCCATCATCTAGGTTAGTCCAACACACTAAAGATCTGATGGCAACTGAAGAGAAGCTTTGCATCAAAGTATTGAGGACACTGCAGCAAATGTTGGTGAAAAGGAACAAATATGGAGACAGGGTGAGTAGTTAAGAATGCTTATTTTTACGTGGGTATAAAGTCTATTTGCCAAATATGTTTTTGTCATCTCTTTATTGTGTTTTCTGGGTAAGTAGTTATGCTTGAGCCTTCTTTCAATGAAAGCTCTTTACGATAAATAAGTCTATACAAAACTTTGCAGGATATACATTTGATTCATGGCTGTGTTAATGCTGTCTTTTCACACTGGTCATCCAGCGAATGATGAAACTTTTAAGATGAAGACAGTAGTTTTCCTGGATGTAAGGCCTCCAGAAACTGAAGTTCTATGCACTTGATTAGCTTTGTCCTTCATGCTTTTATCTCCAAGAATCAAATTCTTTAGAAAAAAACATTCAGCAAAAAACATTGACCAAGTTTCTTTTTTAATGCTAGGGCAATACATTGAGGAAAATGCTTCTGGCTAATTACTTGCAGACCAAAAAAACTGGCTCCAAAGGGGAAATTGTTGACTCTTCTGGTATTGGTAAGTAATGAATTAGTATTAAATTGTATCTTCTCCCATTTCTTCTTTGATTTCTTTCCTTATGCACATATCTTCAACTACTGTTTTTTTGCTACTTAACTGTCATCATCTTCATCATTTTACCCATGGTCTACCTACTGCAGGATAAAGGCCTCTTCTGTATGTTTCCAACAAATACAGTCTTGAGTTTTACTTTGCCGATTGGCAAAAGAAACTGTATGCAGCTGATACTGAATAATGTTTCCAAGTTTGTTTGTTTTTTAAGTAAATATATGTTTATTAACTAGATTTATATCCTATCTTTTCTTTGGGAGATCAAGCTGGTGTACATAGCATTTTCTCCCACATATGTTCTCTACTAGAAAAACCTTGTATGTTAACTTGAACTGAGAGATAGTGATTAGTCTAAAGTCACTCAGTAAGATTCCATAACTGAGGATAGACATAAATATAGATATCCAGAGTTACTCAAGAGTGAGATGGGTATATAATTTAATAAAGTAATAAATATCCCTGATTCTAATCACACCTTAATCACTGATATATTGCATTCTGTTTATTCTGATTATTGATCCTTCTACCTCATGTTTACATTTAATGTTAAATATTATATTTGGGGTCTTTTGTGTGCAAAACATATGTTGTAATACTGAGATATGAAAGGTTGTATAAGGATTTCCACCATTGCAAGTTTACTCTGGGAGCTATTTTTGATCACACAGAGGACAGACCGAAAGCGATGTGATGATTATTGCAAATAATCTTTATGAATGCAAATTGTTTTCAGGCTACTACTTAGGTGGCTAATAATGTACTCCTAACACAGTTTACTTGAGGAGCCAGTTTAGTTTAAGTGTTGGACTAGAAATTGGGAGATTGTGTTCTAGTGCTACCTTAGGCCCAGAAACCAGGAGACAATATGTTCTAGTGCTCCTTAGTCCCAGAAACTGGGAGATGATGTATTCTAGTGCTCCCTTAGGCCCAGAAGGTAACTGGGTGATTTTGGCTCAGACACTGTCAGTCCAATTTACCTTTCCAGGTTGTTATTGTGGAGAAAATAAAAAGTGTAAATATTAAGTGTACTACATTGATGTGTATAAATGAAGATGGGATGTAACATCTAATAATTGTATTAGTGGTTTTGCACTTTATTTCTTGAATGGTTATATATGCTGCCTGAGACAAAGAGTTAATGAAACATAACATTTGCATATCCAAAGGAGATACATTACCCAGTATGTCAACTTTTCTCCCCTTACAATTTGGCTATATATTTTAAACTTGGCCTCCTTTCTCTTAAACATTTGTTTGCATACAGGACAAGACCAGGACTGGTCAGTCATTGCTGCTGTTCAGTGCCGACTGGACAGAGAAGGTGCTACCAAGCTGGTGTCTGACCTTATCATGAACACCAAAAATGAGAAGATTTTTCAGGAGAGCATTCGCTTGGCTATTCGACTGCTTGATGGTGGCAACACAGAGATACAGGTATTATATTTCTTTCCATGATGGTTCTGGTGCATTGCAAATTCAGAATAACTTCTAATGCCTTTCCCTTAGTGTGGGATACAGCATCACATCCAACATTTAATCAAATGTTTTTATTGCATCTGTCAGAAATGTAACTGCATAATTCATTTTCTCAAATAACATGTGCTCCCTCTGCTGGCTTCTTTAGGGCTTGCTAGGACAAATTCAACATTTTCTATTTCAGCCTCCTTTATTTTGGAAAAAAAAGTATGTCCGGATGATTATATCTATTGGTTCTATTATAAACATATGCATGTATTTAAAGGATAATAAAGTACTTTTCCTATTCCATAATGAATTGCTATACCTCTAAGATTTGAAACCAGCATTTTCTGAGGAAGTATGGTGATGAGACATACTATTATTTATCTGCTAAATTTTGCAGTGAGGACTAGACAGCCAAGTATTAATTCAACATGATTGTAGTACCAGGAGGAATACATTTTCTATTGCTATTCAAAGAGACAATTCATCATAATATGAAGTGTGACCTGCATATCTGCACCTTGAATATGAATTAGTGTACTGTATGTACTTCCTGGTTGGTAACATGCCAGCAATAGGACGTTGTCTTACAAATGCAGAGGCTTTAGCCAGAATAGAGTGGACTTGCTTGGGTGAAACTTGCTATCATTGTGTTTGTGGCATACTGGCAAAATGTGCCCAAACTGGTACTATTCTTATCATTACTAGGGAATGCGGCGCATACCACAGTTGGCAACCCAGTTTGTATGTTTTCTAGCTTACTAAAATAATTACCTAAAAACCTCAATTGACCGAAGCCTTGATGTTAAGGGACGCTGTGGCTCAGTGGCTAAGACGCTGAGCCTGTCGATCAGAAAGGTCGGCAGTTCGAATTCCTAGCGCCGCGTAATGGAGTGAGCTCCAGTTACTTGTCCCAGCTTCTGCCAACCTAACAGTTCGAAAGCACATAAACATGCAAGTAGAAAAATAGGAACCACATTGGTGGGAAAGTAACAGTGTTCTGTGTGCCTTTGGGATTTAGTCATGTCGGCCACATGACCATGGAGACATCTTCGGACAGCGCTGACTCTTCGGCTTTGAAACGGAGATGAGCACTACCCACTAGAGTCGGGAATGATTAGCAGCAGTGGTGGTTTGCAGGCGGTACACCCTGGTATGGGCGTACAGGAGCCAGCCCGGAGCACCGGATACTGTTCCGGTACGGTGCTCTAGAGAGTCCACCCGCCCACCCTTGCTCCTTACCTGTGCTTTAAGCTTTTGGCGCTTCCGTGCATGCGCACGGTGTGTACGGCGCCTGTATGATGCTCCGCCGAGCAGCTGGAGCATTGCGGAGGCTTGTGGAAGTGTCGCAGGCAAGTACAATGCATGCATGCACTACGCGCGTGTGCGCATGCATGTGGATGACCGGTTGGAATGGAATCCGGAACCCACCACTGACTAGCGAGGGGAACCTTTACCTTTACCTTGATGTTAACATCAATGTGGAGTTTAACATCTATGGGCCCACTTGATGATGATCTGATAAAATATGGAGAATTATCAAATGCCCTCCTAATGTTTTAAATTGTGAGATCAATACATTTGGAGGTACCAGTTTGGGAAAGTATAATCATTGCACCTGTTTTTGCTCTTTTTGCTTGTCTCTGAAGAAATCATTCTATAACTTGATGACCAGTGATAAAAAGTCAGAAAAGTTCTTTAAAGTTGTTCATGACCGGATGAAGAAGGCACAGCAAGAGGTTAAGTCCACTGTGACAGTGAATATGAGTGATATTGGCAACAAGCCTAGAGAAGACAAGGATTCTCCTGATCACAACAGCAAAGGTATGTGAGAAATGATATTGTCTGATCTGACAATTTGGCTCGGGAAGTCTTAAGTCTGTCTGAATCGTAACTATCTCTGAGCATTTCTTAGCCCCATAACAATTAATTCTTGGATTTCAAAACTGGAGAGTAATAACAATTTCTTAAGTAATATCTGTCCTGAATTTTATTAACATTCTCTTTTCCATTTTTATTGATAGTGTTTTTCTTTTAGGTATTCAGAAAATGTAAGATGTATTTGGACATTGCTAGTTTAGCATCTTTAGTTCCTGAAAACCAAATCACAGCTTTGCTTGAAAAACTGCTTTAGTAGTATAGGTTGACAATAACATCTAATTATTGTGTGTGTAGATGACCGGTGGTATAATTATTGTCAGCCTGAAACACTTTCCAAGTTCAATTTCCCAGTGCCTATTAGGCTTTGGATAATGAATAAATACGTCTTGTATCTCTGCATTACATAGTTTAAAGAGGTTTGTTTAGTGAAGTGTCAGAGGAATGTTTTGTTTGCCTTTGACACAATTTAAAGAGGCCTGCTTTCTTACAGGAAGAAGTATAAACAGGGATGCATGCTGATAGGGCTTCCTTTAAAGAGATTGGGCAGGATACATCTTGGTTTAGCGTTTTTAGATAAATAAAGCAGCCTGCATGCATGCTGGCAAATGATCAGAGTTCTTGTTTGCAGGACGAGTAACAACTTTTATGTTGCCTAATGCACCATCATCCCGTTATGCAATGGGTGTAGGCTTCCATTCAGCCCATGATGCAAGAGACAGAAATCAGAATAACGAAATGAGTATGTCAGTCTTGATTATGGAGCCAATTCTTCGTTTCCTGCAGCTGCTGTGTGAAAACCACAACCGGGATCTCCAGGTAGGTGTTCTGCAGAGAATAGGGTGTCATGGTTAGGTAACTTCTGGTAACTCCAGTGATTTGATAACTTCAGCAGGAATATCTAATTACCAGTTGTTTAGTTGGAGCGGTGAGTAATGTATAGGTAGTCCTCACTTAATGACCCTAATTAGGACTAGCAACTTTGTCACTAGTACAAAATCGCAGTGTATCTATCACTCTAGACTCTCTCCTCCTAGAGATCTTTTATCTCTTCCCACACAATTCTTTCAGCACAATTCTTTCAGCAGTCCCAAAAAGGTTTCACACCCTTTGCACTATTTAGGTGACCCTGAGGGCACAGATAAACCTCCAAGTGGCCTCAATAACTCTCAGAAAGAATGCTAATGACCAGATAACTGCAAGGAATATAAATCCTTCCATTCTCTGCCATTCAGTCAGAACTGAAGAAGCTTCTTGGCTAAGAAGTGAAACAGCTTCAAGGAAAAACAAAGAAAGTCGAGTTGCCTCTTGAAAAAGCACCTTTGGGACAACCATGTCCTGGATGACTGAGAATCTCCATAAACATTTGCCTGTTAACGTTTTACTCTATATCTTACAGAACTTTCTCCGCTGCCAGAATAATAAGACCAACTACAATTTGGTGTGTGAAACACTGCAATTTCTGGATATTATGTGTGGTAGCACTACAGGACGGCTGGGTTTACTGGGGCTGTATATCAATGAGTACAATGTTGCCCTCATTACTCAGACTTTGGAGACACTGACAGAATATTGCCAAGGACCCTGCCATGAGAACCAGGTACTGTGATCCTACTTGTGGATAAGATACATTGATTCTTAATGAAATAAATTGTTAAAATATTCATGACTGGGCGAGACATGGGAACAAGGTCAGCCAATGAATAGGCATAGCAGCTAAGTCAGCCAACGGGAGCTTAAATAGATCTGAGTCTGTGCAGAGAATTGAAACAGAAACGTAAGCAGTCTGCTGCTCTGAGAAGTAAACAACCAGTCTGGCTGGGCTTGTCCGCTGATATGAAACTCACTCCTTATATTTGCCTGTAACTCTCCTGCCTTGTGCTTACTTGGAAGAACCACCTGTTGGTATTGTACATTTATTTATCTATTCTTATGTATATAAATAAGATAATGAGTCCTACTGCATCAGTTATCTATGTGTGTTTCAGGATTTGAATTTTTGCAACAAACTCTGACAGAAATTAATTGTCCAGGAGGAGAGTGAACTGGC